CAAACCCTAAACCCTAAACCCTAAACCCTAACCCCCAGCATAGACATAAATCCTCGCTTGTGTAGGTGCTGCTCTGTACTCTGAGGGTTTGGGGTTTAGAGTGTACGCTCACCGTTTTCTGCTGGTTTCTTCAAACCCTCCTTGGGTGGTAGCAGAAGCCGCCGGCTCTGAGTCACAAACCCTAAACCCTAAACCCTAGCATAAACCCTCGGCCACTAGTGTAGCAGAAAGAAACTTTAGGGTTTACGGTCTCCCCTTCCGCCTTAAGTCTGAGCCCTCTACTTGTTCTCTTCTGGGGTCTAGGGTATGCATGGGACCTAGGGTTTAGGGTTTAGGGTTTAGGGTTTAGGGTTTTTCGAACCCCCGCGGTTTTTGCTGCCTTTCGGATGCGATGGTGGGGCGCCTTCTCCTCGCCAGCCTGAGCATAACACGTAAACCCTAAACCCTAAACCCTAGCAGTAGTACGTTGCTTACGAGTGTCTCGAGCTTGCAGTGCACTACAGAGTATATAACATAACAGGTTTTATCAGGGTTTAGGGTTTAGGGTTTAGGGTTTAGGGTTTGGCTTGCCTGTGATTCTCGGGTCGTATTTGAGGGTTAGCTTCAGGCAGCTTACGCTTTTGTCGGCTTTGCTCATTAAATTAAAAATAAATAAATCGTTAACATTGGGGAGGACCCTCAAATCAAACTGAAAAAGGGTTTGAGGAATACGCAGAAAATTCACCGGGTCCTGTGCAGCACACAAACCCTAAACCCTAAACCCTAAACCCTAAACCCTAAAAGCCTTACGCATCGATCCCCTCTTGCGTTGCTGGCACATACCAAGGTATGCATACTGCAGTCAGTGGCTGATAGGTAGGGTTTAGGGTTTAGTTAGGGTTTACAGGTTAGCTAGGGTTTAGTTCGGGTGTAGTTAGGGTTTAAGGTTTTGTTAGGGTTTAGGGTTTAGGGTTTAGGGTTTAGGGTTACCCGCTGCGTCGCCTGAGACCTCTCAAGGCTGAGGGTATGAAACTGAAGGGTTTGCAGCAGCAGGGAGAGTCTGTCTTTATCCTGCAGCCACAAACCCTAAACCCTAAACCCTAAACCCTAACCCTGGCCCAAGAGAGCGAAGGGGGAAGACTGCCCGCCTGCACGTGCTATCTGCTGCAGTGTGAAAAAGGGTTTAGGGTTTAGGGTTTAGGGTTTACGATGGGTTCATGCGGATGAATCATCGGCTGCCAGTTGCCGTACTGCGCCAGGTCCAGCGGCGTCTGCTCGCAAACCCCAAACCCTAAACCCTAAACCCTAAACCCTAGCCCTAGACTATATTTTTAGTATGCGTCTGTCTGGGGTTTGCAGTGTATGGGGAGTTGCGCCTGCAGAGCTTAGGTTTTAGAGTTTGCGCAGAGGTCACTGATTAGGGTTTAGGGTTTGTGTATACATCATTTTGGGGGTGTCTGCAGGGTTTAGGGTTTAGGGTTTAGGGCTTGTGTGTACATCATTTTGTGGGTGCCTGCAGGGTTTAGGGTTTAGGGTTTAAGGTTTAGGGTTTGTGTGTACATCATTTTGTGGGTGTCTGCAGGGTTTAGGGTTTAGGGTTTAGGGTTTGTGTGTACATCATTTTGTGGGTGTCTGCTGGGTTTAGGGTTTAGGGTTTAAGGGTTTAGGGTTTTAGGGTTTAGGGTTTAGGGTTTGTGCATACATCATTTTGTGGGGTTCTTGTGATCTGACAGAAGGTGGCGAGGGCAGCAAAGTCTACAGGGGGTATAGGAAGCGAAAACCCTAAACCCTCAGCAAGGGTTTGCGAGAACCACAAAACCCTAAACTGTCCATGAGGGTAACAGATAGTTTTAGCTGCTTTCGCACATGAGAATATAAAATGATGAAGCCGCAGCTGAAAGAGAGGCGAAGCAAACGGAATAAAGTCCGGACACCTGCACGCAACACAAACCCTAAACCCTAAACCCTAAACCCTAAATCGTGCAAGCACCCCCGTACAACGACGATCTCTGCATAAACCCTAAACCCTAAACCCTAA